TTGTGTCCTTTACCAGAATTCAGATGAAAATGTTTAAACAGTGAAGTCACAGAGTGATTTCCACTGACTTTAACTCCATCCTTTTCTCTGTGAGATTTGAAGAAGGATGTGGTCGAACATTGGTCGACGTTGATAAACGTAGTTTGTCCTGATTGGCTGATCTGTGTCAAGTCACTCTGAATGAAAGACTTCCTTCAGTCAGTGACAATGTACGGTCTACGGTTGATGCTAAACACCAGTAGGTGGTGCTGTGAAATTGTTACTTTTACTGTTACTGTCTGGTTCTGGAGCTGGAGTATAGTTCTAGTGTCAGATCAGTACCAGAGCCTTCAGATCAGTACCAGAGCCTTCAGATCAGTACCAGAGCCTTCAGATCAGTACCAGAGCCTTCAGATCAGTACCAGAGCCTTCAGATCAGTACCAGAGCCTTCAGATCAGTACCAGAGCCTTCAGATCAGTACCAGAGCCTTCAGATCAGTACCAGAGCCTTCAGATCAGTACCAGAGCCTTCAGATCAGTACCAGAGCCTTCAGATCAGTACCAGAGCCTTCAGATCAGTACCAGAGCCTTCAGATCAGTACCAGAGCCTTCAGATCAGTACCAGAGCCTTCAGATCAGTACCAGAGCCTTCAGATCAGTACCAGAGCCTTCAGAGAAAACGCTTGTTTATTTAATTAATTTTTTTCTTTACCAAAGGGCAGATATCCAGTGAAAAGGCCTAATGGCCTGTGGTTATGGAGTGTTTCTGTTTGCTGCGCTATCATATCTCATAAAGTATTTACAGCCTCTGATAGGCCCCAGTGGTTACCGGGGCTGGAGGGAAGACTCTTCAACATCCTACACTGGGGGAGGATTTTCTTTTTTTTTTTTTTTCTATTTGTCAATATACGCACATGGACTAACATGCTGAAAAGAATTGACTAGAAAAGAGGAAAATTAAGTCAGATATAATTATCGGACCTGACTCTGTGACTGGGTAGTTGAACGACGGGGACGCCCGGGGGGCAGGAGGGGGGTTGTGGGTGGGGGGGGGACTGAACGTCAGTAGTGGAGTGAAAAAGGCTGAAAAGGAAGATTTTGAGTTTGCATTTCCTAAACGC